TGTGTGTGTGTGTGTGTGTGTGTGTGTGTGTGTGTGCGTGGTGGAACACCAAACCAATGTGCCAGGATCTGGACAATAAAGATGTATCTTATCTTTTCTTATCGTATCTTATATATTTAACCACGTCTATGTTGCTTCGTTGTTTCGTGGGGTTCAGTAAAAGATCGTACAAGGTCTTGTAATTAAATTCCTGCATCTGTTTGAATGATGCATCTGATGTGATATGTACATTTTTTCAGTTTTGCTTTCCTTCCTTTTCAGGTTGAATTATAATGAGAGTAATTATAAGATAAAGGTTTATGTATACCTGCATGTGTTTTTACGGTCCTGTACAGCCTAGAAAAATGTCCCTCTGGGATAACAAAGTTTTATCTTATCTTTTCTTATTTTAGTGGGTGGTTGGCGGGTGCTGTGGTGTGGTTTCCTATCAAACATCTATCGTCTTTATTTCCCCTTCTTCTTTTTTATGTTTGTTACTCTCTTGAAATAAGTTTAATCTTCTGCGGCTCACATGACCTTATGCAGTTGTGAGCACCGTAAAACCTCTACTAAAACTAAAACTATCTTACCTAATCTTATCGTGACTGCTCCCGTCCACAGATCAAAGACCTTCAGAATGACCACATTGTGAGGTTTGTGGGAGCCTGCATAGACCCGCCTCACCAGTGCATCATCACTGAGTACTGCCCTAAGGGAAGTTTGCAGGTCGGTCCATGGAATGATGTCTTTTCGTTGCATGTGTGTGCGTGTTTTATTGAATGATGTTGGGATTTTTCGTCCCTTTGCTTTCGTATTTTGTTCTTTTAACTGATGTCTTTACACTTTGTTCGTGTGTGTGTGTGTGTGTGTGTGTGTATGTGTGTGTGTGTGTGTGTGTGTGGTGGGGTATGTGTGTGTGTTGGTGTGTTTGTGAGTGTGTGAATGTGTGTTTGTTGGTGTATGTTGGTGTGTGTTTTGGTGTATGTTTGTGTGTATGTCGGTGTCTGTGTGTGTGTGTGTGCGTGTCGGTGTCTGTATGTGTGTGTGTGTGTGTCGGTGTCTGTCT